TTACCACGTTCTATTTTTGTCGAGTTCCCGATATTTCGGCAGTGTTTCAACGGCCATGATCACTTTATTTGATTTGATTATGTATGCAACTTTAATATTTTATAACCAAACCAAGTTTACATAATGTTAATTATATTTTGGGTAAACGTACTGAAAAAGAGTGGTATTCGAGGTATGCGAGCGGCGCCGGGGGGCGGCACTTGTGTACCCGACACGGGTATATATTGAAATACCTGGACGTCGCACTCCAGTTTAGTTTGGGACATTTTATAACATAACAAATAAGAAAATATTTCGTTGCGGTCTCTCGCCAAATTCCACCTGCGCCAGTATTCGGAGATTGTGCCGGCACGGAAATATATTAAATCGGATGCGAATAAATGATTGAATAAGGCAATTTGAAGCATGCGACGAGCCGCATGTCGTCGCTTCTCGTTCATTATATTGTTTTGGGGAAATCAATTTTGTTTGTTTTTTTATTGGGTTGTTTGGGCTGTTGTCAGATGTTTGTAGCACCTGTAGCACTGCGACCCACATAGATCTATTGTGCTCGCCCTTTTTCAAAGTCCGCTACCTAGACCCGTCAGGGACGAGAATTGAAGGATATTCTTAGAAGCGATGATTTTTATCTCCTCAGGATAGAGTGTAAACTTTCCAAAGGAGATATTTCGTTTATGCATGAGTGAACTACAACATACCTGAAATTAAAAACCTTAAAAAATAACTAAAATATATTATTAAAAGGAGTTTTAACCTTTTATGCAAGGTTCCGAAGATACTGGTTCGACTTCGTCCGCGTGGAATGTAACTTTATTTTTCTAAAATAAAATAATATTATGAAAATAAAAGTAGCCAACGTTACTCCTTATTACAGCAGCTACCTGCCAAAAATGTCCTGTCAAAATTGGTCCAGCCATTTCAGAGATTAGCCGAAACAAACAGACAGACAGACAAAATTTGTAAAAAATGTTATTTTGGTGTATGTACTGTATTTATATTCATATGCATGTAGTAAAAAACGGTTATTTCAATATTACATACAGACACTCCATTTTATTTATATATTTATATATATATCTATATAGACAATCATACACTTTCCATGTCTATGGAAATTATAATTCAAAAGCAATTCATGTAATTCCATCAGTTCAAATTACTACTTGTTAGTAATTTTCCCTTTTCCCCCCGGTAGGAGATTCAATTGTATCTGTTTTACAAAAATTAAGTATAATTGTAAATAGGTCTATAAGTCTGAAACCGGATTTTTCTTAAAAGCCGACAAAATCGCTGTGGTCTGCTTACGGTGCTGAAGCTTACTGTGTGTTGTTGTTGAGGAATCCGACTACAAGTTCCAATCAAATAGCCGCCACTTTTGCATTTGAATCATTTTTAAATTACCGCCGAAAATGGCTGGGTCAAGTGAGGTTCAGCGGGGAAATCTTCTATTCTGTTTACAGAATGCTTAGAGAAGACCCTTGTCAGACACAGAAGATGATTGCAGAGCAGTTTATTTATTTATTTATTTATTTAACTTCAATGCACACAATATACAAAATATAGTAAAGTACATTTGGCGGACTTAACACCATGCGGCATTTTCTACCAGTCGACCATTGGTGGTGCAGAGAGTAAATGTTGGCGGTGCAAATATAATAAATGATAAATAAAAAGCAACAAAATATAAACAGAATGATAAATACAATATATATCTAAGGAATACAATCATAAATTACATAAATATATGCAAATATTATATTATACATATATACAAATAATTATATACACATATATATATATATAAAATAAATATATACTAGATACTCAATAGTCTGACAGTCACAGAACCATAGAGAGTAGAATGGAAAAATAGTGAAAGAAAGAGAAATAGAAGAGAGTAGTAAAAAGTTACAAATTGAGATAATGTTCCCGTAGTTTATGTTTAAAAGAAATTTTATTCTATAAAATTTTATATAGCAGTTCAGCGTGAAGCGCAATTTTTTTTTACCCAGGAATCTTGGTTAACTAGGCTACTGGATGGGAGGTGTTCTCGGTGCGTGATAATTACAGTAACGTGTTCCGTACGAGCCTCCAAATATCTGTAATTATTATTTTGATGATTACGAGTTGTAATAACCGTACGAGTAATTTTACTCTACAATTCATTGGCTATTAACACGCATTATTCAACATAGTAGAATAGAAAATCATTTATTCAAATAAACTTACATTGAAGCACTTTTGAATAGTCATCACATTTTTTTAATCTACCACTCATTCGGAAAGCTGTTTCATCACAAGAAGAACGAGCAAGAAACTTGTGTGTTGCTCTTTTAAATAATTTTATTCTTACTTACAATTTAAGTTTAAGTGTGTGAATACAAACTACCGATTAGTACTAATTCAATTAAATAATCAAATAGAAAAAATATTTAATGCACAACTGGTTAAACAATCAATAAGTCGCTGTCGCTGTCTGTCCGTCCCTATGTATGCTTAAATCTTTAAAACTGCGCAACGGATTTTGGGGCATTTTTAATAGATAGAGTAATTCAAGAGGAAGGTTTATATGTATAACACATGTATACCCAGACGGAGCTGGGGCGAGTAGCCAGTTACTATATAAATTCCATAAACCTTGTTCATAACAGAGAAAGCAAACAAACCAACATGTGAACACACCGCACTGAGGGTACATTACAGCGTATCTCTTTCTGCATGCCCGTTTAATCTCCTGCAAAATTCATTTAACCAAAAGTGCACTTATGAAGATAGCAATGACGCCTAACATTGGGGCAAGTTTATGGAAGACTACATGGTTATGATGCACTAAATAAAACCCCATGCAACGGTATTAACATCCGAGGTACTCGACATTCGCCCATAATACTCGGTAATAAGATCGCAGTGGAACGCAGAATGTATAAAAATTATGTCATGGGAGTTTTGCAAGATGGCCATAAGAACCCCTCGCGTTGTCGGCTTAAGTCGTAGCTGGTATTTATGTGTTTGTTATCTGCAAACGCGAGATGTGAGCGCTCCACGGCCGAATCTCGGATTACAGCTACCTTTAATCAATTTCCCAATTCATTATATACACGATCGACTGAAACCAATTCCATTGGAGGGAAAACAGCTTATATGTAAAGACTGAAGATTGTAAAAGAGATTTTTTTAATAATAATAATAAGGGCATAATATCAGTCAGACAATATGTACACACACACACGCACAGTCACACAAACATACACACACTGCACCCTCGTAAGTGTGGTGAAAAACTAGCAAAAGCTGAGAAAATTGCGACAATAATGAAAATAATAATCTCAGGATAATTCACACAGCGCCATCTAGACCCAAGTTAAGAATAGAATATAAAATCATTTATTCAAATAAACTTAATTTAAGCATTTTTGAATAGTCATAACAATTTTTTTTATCTACCGCCCGTTCGGAAACCTGTTTCATTATAAGAAGAACGAGCGAGAAACTTGTGTGTTGCTCTTTTAAATAATCCTTGTAAGTTTACATTTACAAGTCAAAACGTGTGAATACAAACTACCAACCAGCACTAATTTATTTGGGTCAAATATAAATATACAATAAGATTAAATCAGTCGTAGTGATACGAGCAGACCAGTCCCTACAAGCAGCACTCGTTCACGAATATGACGGATGAGCCAGCCATCACTAAGCTCGAAGCTTATCTAGTACTATGTAATATTATGTTATCTGTGCTAGTACCCATAACACAAGCTTTGGCTAGCTTATGAAGCTAAAGCTTGTGAGATTTGAAAACCGATACAAATACATAGATACGTTTTTTTTGAGACCGATACAAACAATCATACTCATGAATACAAATGTTTGCACCATACGAGGAATCGAACCCGCGACCATTGGAAGTAAAGCGGTGTGCTACACCGTTAGACCACCGAGGCCGTCGCCGTATATCGTGTTTAGAGTGTTGTATAGATATCATAAAGCCTAACAGCCCTTTTATATAGAAACTTTTGTCGATTCCCAAAAAGAGAGCACCCCTTCCTTTTAAACTTTATGTTTAAGTCGTTACTTGCAGGAAACCTGTTTTTATAAATTCCAGAAAGTTAAATGGCAAAAGTTTAATTCCACTAGCTGCTCAAAACAGCTGGCTGTATATTTATCGACGTTATGATTAAGTTTTACAGAGGGTTGGGCGGGGGATGTTCCCGGGAGTGCCAACCTTGGCGGGGATGCGTATTGCTTGAGTTTAGAAAATCGGCTGGTTTCATTGTTAAAGTGGACGAAGTGATATTCAATGATAGTTGGGAGGTATTGAACAAGGGCGGACGGTGCGCATGCGTGGCTATGGCGCCGGGGCGGGCGGGGGCGGGCGGGGGCGCCCGGGGCAGTGATAGCTCCTCTCATTCACAAGATGTTATTCTACATATAACGCAACGGTTACAGCCAGCGCTTGCTGTTAAATAACAGCCTACCATACATGATATGATATTTCTTTCAAGCAAAGATTGCGGAAACTTTATCTGAATATATATAACTCAAAGGTGACTGACGTAGTGATCTATCAACGCACAGGCCAAACCACTGGACGGATCGGGCTGAAATTTGGCATGCAGGTAGATGTTATGACGTAGGCATCCGCTAAGAAAGGATTTTGATTAATTCTACCCCCAAAGGGATAAAATAGGGGATGAAAGTTTATATGAAACTTTGTCCATTTTAAACTAATCGGGCTGAGACTTTGCATGCATAAAGCTACTATGACGTAGGCATGCCCTAAGAAAGGATTTTGATAAATTCCACCACAAAGGGGATAAATTAACGCGAGCGAAGCCGCGGGCAAAAGCTAGTCTTAACATATAACTTTGTATACCATCATATATTATCATTTATATATGTTTCCCTTTAGCATTAAGTCTCTTCATTGTTACTACAAAGCTAAACTAATATATATATATATATATATTTGTATCTACTGTTATTTTCAGAATACACTTTTTATGGTTACTTTTCAAATTAAAATACGGGAATGTGTTTAGTACTTGTGTATTACGATGACATGTAGAACATTGACATTATGCTTTATAAAACACTTCAAAAACTGACAGCTGACTGACTTGCAACATGCCCCCGGACATTGGAACATAACAATGTTTCAAGCAGAAGTCGAGGAGATAGGCAGTGGACATATTTTTGAAAATGATCTCCTAATTACTCCAGTAGATGTACGAATGTCTGCAACTCGAACTATTCCATCAGAACCAGGATGAATGGCTACAATTCTTCCCAGCTTCCATTTAAGGGGCGGAAGGTGATCTTCTTTAATGACCACTAATGTATCAAGCTTTAGTTCCGATTTGCCTGACTGCCACTTGGTACGCTGCTGCAATTCGGCAACAAATTCTTTACTCCATCTGCTCCAAAAGTGTTGACGAAGCTGCTCTATGCGTGCAAAACGACTTAAGTTGCTTGTTGTCGATTGGCGCAAGTCTGGTTGTGGTAATGAGATGAGAGGTCGACCAATAATAAAATGCCCAGGAGTCAGCGGTGTATAGTCAGCAGGATCAGTTGACAATGGTGTCAGTGGACGGGAATTCAATATTGCTTCAATTTGAGTTAAAGTGGTGTTAAGTTCTTCAAACGTCAAGTTACAATTTCCCAACACTCGCTGAAGGTGGTACTTGGTCGATTTGACGCCCGCCTCCCAGAGTCCGCCAAAGTGAGGTGTATACGCGGGAATAAAATGAAAATTTATTCCCTGACTAACTACAGTATCAGACAAGGCATCACAATTTGCCTTTAAAAATTTCGATATCTCGTTATACGCACCAACAAATGAGGTACCATTGTCAGAGTATATATGAACAGGCTTTCCACGTCGCGATATAAATCTGTATAAGGCCATTAAATACTTATTACTAGTGAGATCTCCTACGAGCTCCAAGTGGATAGCCTTAGTGGTAAAACAAACGAATATTGCTATATACACCTTCATAAGTCTACAACCACGACCCTGACGACTAGCGCTCATTATTGGCCCGGCATAGTCAACGCCGACACATTCAAACGGATAACCTGGAAGAAGACGCTGCTGAGGTAAATTCCCCATCAGTGGTGTTGCAATCTTTCCTTTCATCCGATTGCAACGTACACATTTGTGATAGCAAATTTTAGCTAAATTACGGCCACCAATGGGCCAGTACGATTCTCTGATTGTAGCTAACAATAGTTGTGGACCTGCGTGCAACAACCTTTTATGTTCAAAATGAAATAATAATTTTGTGAAAATATGTGTGGACTGTAAAAGAATTGGGTGTTTTTTATTATAACAAAAGGATGAATTATTTAGACGTCCTCCGACACGCATAATATTATTATCATCCAAAAAAATATTAAATTTCAAAAGTGGGCTCTTTTTTGGTAAACAACGTTTATTAATAAGTAAGTTATATTCAGGGAAGGATTCTCTTTGACTTATTAAAATAATTATATTTAGTGCATTACTAAATTCGTGTTGAGACAGAAATATTGTAGATATATTAAGACTTCGATTTCTACAAATCCGAATAAATCGTAATACGTATGCTACACAGCGCACAAGTCGAAGATAATTGGAAAACCGGCTGAAATTTATAAATTCATAATTTCGGTCAGTCTCAACAATGGCATTAAATGCAATATGAGGTCGCATTTCTGGCAACGTTTCTAATTGCAAACCTTTGATATTAGAGGGCCAGCTAGATTGAGTCTCCACTAAAAAGTCTGGACCATTCCACCACAAGCTTTTATGTTGCAGACTCCCTATATCCACTCCACGGGATATAAGGTCTGCTGGATTTTTGTCTGTTTGGAACGTGTCTCCATATACAATTACCAGCCTTATCTAAAATTTCAGCAACGCGGTTGCGTACAAATGGCTGAAGCTTAGAAGGTAGCATTTGTAACCATCCCAACACTATAGTGGAATCAGTCCAACAATAAACATGATTCACATGTACCCGAAGGGACTTTGAAACCTTCTCATATAACCGTGCACCGACCAAGGCACCACACAATTCCAGTCGTGGGATTGTTGTAGGCTTAATCGGCGCTACACGACTTTTAGCCGTCAATAAACCTACCGTGCACTCTCCGTTATCATTGATGCTACGCACATAAACGCACGCACCATATGCACGCTCAGATGCATCAGTGAATACATGTAACTCTAGCGATTTATACGAATCACAAACTACAAGACGTGGAATGCGAAAATTATTTAATAGAGGCAAAGCCTCAGCAATTGCAGTCCAAGTGGTATTTAGCTCCGTGGTTAATGGTTCATCCCATGTTACATTATCTAGCCACAATTTCTGTAGCAACATTTTCATTGTCACTATACAAGGGGATAGAATACCTAGAGGGTCGAAAATGCGTGCTATTGCCGAAAGCAAATCACGTTTAGTGCGACCAATTAGAGGTACAGAGCTAATTACAAAACCTAATTCATCGGTAGCGGCAAACCAATCAACACCTAATAACTTATTAGATTCATGAGATCCTATATTTAAGTCTAAAGATGTTTGCAACTCATCCGATACTAAACCGGGTTCATTTGATTTCCACTTTCTCAAAGGCATACATGCCGATGCAAGAGCTTCGGTAACCTCGGTACGTATAGACTTAATCTCATTTAAAGTGTCCGCTCCGGTCAACAAGTCATCGACATAAAAATCGTGTTCAATAATCTCTGAGATTTTCTTGTTCTTGCACTCCGAAGCTATTTCTTTAAGGCATCGCGTTGCAAGAAATGGTGCACTTGCTGTACCGTATGTGACTGTATTCAATTGATAAGTTTTTATGGGTTCGGTTGGACTCGATCGCCAGAGTATTTGCTGGAAACATCTATCAGATGGATGAACCATTATTTGTCTATACATCTTCTCCACATCTGCAGATAAAACATATTTATGCAGTCTAAATCGTAGAAGTATAGACAATAGGTCATCCTGGACTGTGGGACCTACCATCTGAATACAATTTAGAGACACTCCTGATGAAGTGGGGGAACTCGCATTAAAAACCACACGAAGTTTTGTAGTCGTACTACCTTCACGTAATATACCGTGATGTGGTATGAAATAACTTTTAGTATTATCGACTCCCTTAACTTCAGTCATATGATGTAACATCTTGTATTCGTTCATAAATTCATGATATAATTTGCCAAAATCAGGCTTAATTCTTAGTTTACGCTCCACAGCATAAAGACAGTGTGTAGCTCTCTGAAATGATTCTCCCAGAACGGAAGGATTGTGTTTCAGTGGTATACGGACACAGAAACGTCCATTGCTTAATCGTGTCACATTCTTGACAAAATGTTCCTCACATAATTTTTCTTCTGGCAAATAGTTGGTAGACTGTAAAGCTGTTTCTTCCAGTTGCCAAAAGCGCATTAAATCTGTACGTAATTTATCCAAACTCTCTTTATGAGGTGAAACGATATGAGTAAAGTTGCATTTTATATTAGTCCGCTGAAATTTGACATGATTATAAGTGACAGGACCAGAAATAATCCAACCTAATCTAGTTTCACATAGGACTGGCATTCCAAGACCCAATTTTATTATTTGTGATCCCAACAAATCCCAGAAAATATCTGCACCAATCAAAATATCTACCTTAGAAGGTTCATGGAACGTTGGATCAGCTAAACTGAGGGTATGAGGAATATTGAGATCAGATATATCTAACTTTTGACATGGTACATCACTAGATATTAACGGCAAAATGAAACAATAAAGCTTTGTAGCATAAGTATTGTTTAATGACGTCATTTGAATTTGACACATCTTACCTACGTGTGAAGTCACGTTATTTATGCCACATACTGATCCATCCACTTCATTTGTTTCTAAATTTAGCCGTTTGCATAGTCTTTCAGAAACAAATGATGCTGTGCTTCCGCTGTCAAGAATTGCGCGCACAACAAATGCACGATTATGTTTATCGTAGACCTTGACTAAAGCGGTTGATAAAACTACAGAAACATTTTGAGGAATACCGTAAGAAGCTGAAACCTTTGCAGATAAAGTAAGGTTATTTAGTTCACTATTAAGGTTACTAACTGGCACGGACGATGGAGATGAGTTATCTCCATTGGGATTAGTGATAAGACCCTTTGGTTCCGACATGTGGATCAGTACATTATGTCTACGTTTACATATTTTGCACCCTGGTTTTTTACAATAATTAGCAAAATGACCTGATCGAAAACAATTAAAACATATTTTGAAACTTGGCAATATTTTAATACGAGCATCAACACTTAATGCTAAGAATTTTGGGCAGGAATTTAAGTTATGATCCCCTTTACACTGTGGACAATTTTTTGGATTCGAGGGTGTGCTAACTAGTACACTGCGTCATCATAGCCTTTATTTTGGATACAGGCTTTGCACTAGTATGGGATATATTAATACGCGATACTTCCAATGTTTCGAGTAGATCTGCGCGGTTACGTAAGAATTGAACAAATACGTCAAATGTAATCGTATAATCTTTGTCTATGCGGCCTTTATACTCTTCCCATTCGCGAAATGTTTTTTGATCGAGTTTTCGGGTCACAATGTACACTAACAGTGTGTCCCATTGTTTGATTGGTTCGCCCAGAGTTTCTAAGGCACGTAAATTTTTATTTAATTGATCAATCAAACCTTTGAGTGCAGTAGATGATTCCTTCGAAATTGTTTCTATGTTGAATAACGCTGACACATGATTTTGAATTAACAGTCGTTTATTGTCGAAACGATCGCACAGTAATTTCCACACCACAGGATAATTACTGGCTGAAAACTCTATTGACTGAATGACCACAGCAGCAGATTCCTCCAAGGATGCACGTAAGTAGTGAAACTTATTAATTTCATCAATTTCATCGTTAGTGTGAATGAGACTCATGAAGGTGTCGCGGAACTCTAACCAATGGCTATAAGAGCCATTGAACCGGGGTAGCTGAATTGTGGGTAGTTTTACAGGTTTAAAATTACTAGCACGAGTACTTTTATCACTATTGACAGAATGATTATCTTTATTGAATTTACTTAATAAATTTTGTGACCTAGAAACAGATTTATAATATAATGACTCAAAATCTGACCGCTCAGCAAATTGTGCCTTGACATCATCTACGATACATTCCAAACGTAACTGTACCTCATCATATTGGTCGTACAATGCTTCAATTTTACCAATGCGTAACTGCAGTTCTGTAATATCACAACTTGTTAATATATTTTCATCAATAGCATCGAGGTAATTCACAAATGCAGTTAGACGCCCTTTATAGCTTCCGCGTTTCTTTACTAATTCCCTTTCCTCTGACATTCTACTGGGAGTCAAGCGTTATATCAATCAGAACCGTTACAATAATAAACAGTGTACAAAATCACAACTTATAACTATATGTACCTACTACACTTCTACAATATCTACTGCACATAAACAATATTTATATTTATTTATTCTGTGAGTTTAATTCTATAAATTACTATATAAATTCAATATTCCTTGACAGGTAAATGCCCTAACCTAATAAGCAAAACTACTTTTAAAAGCAAAACCACTTTACAATAAATTTATAAAAAATACTTAAAATTTCAAATGTAATTGTCATTACTAATATTTTGTTTTTAACTGTATTTTCTATCCTATATGTTTGTTTATTCTCTGTTCCAGCTGGTACATATTAACTTACAAATTTAAACAAATAAAAACCATATACAATTAAAGAAAACAAGGCAATGAAATAGTTAGGATCATACAAAACAATGGTAATACAATATCAGTATAATTTTATCAATAAATGATGAAATCTATACAGTAAATAATATTCAACACTAACTTTTATGCCAGAAATTATCATGTATAATTCATATGTTGCTTAAATGCTTATATCAAGAACCGATTAATCGTGTTTTACAATGATAAGCCAACAAATTATCGCATTGAGTATATCTATAGTTAAAAATATAGCACTCAAGTATGCTAACTATATTACTTAGAATATATTTTAACTATTATGACTAACCAAAATTGTATACAATTGATACAAACGATAATATTATTAACTTTGACAATTTACCGGTATGCACTTATTAATGAGTCTATAACAAGAAATATAAACCACTAACCTTATAACAACATCTGAAATATGTTTAAATTCTACCTGACTGAGTGTTGGGAATAATATTTTACCAAGTTATTGCTTAACACCATAGAAACATGTATTTTATTTCATCCACATTCCACGTTTTTATAACCTCCAAGTCACAGTGTAATTCGCTTCAACTATGCTCATTAATTGTTTATCTTCGATAATGATATTTTATTATCCGCTATTTCACAATCCGGCTACGATTTGGACCATATGTTATTTTCAGAATACACTTTTTATGGTTACTTTTCAAATTAAAATACGGGAATGTGTTTAGTACTTGTGTATTACGATGACATGTAGAACATTGACATTATGCTTTATAAAACACTTCAAAAACTGACAGCTGACTGACTTGCAACATCTACTAACACTGTCTTAAATTATCTTAAATATACTTACACTGTCGGCTGTAATCACTATTTCATTGTCAGATTATTGGTCATGTATGTATTTATGTGTGTATGGTATATTTTTGAATATTTAATTTAAATATTTATTTATATTGGTAGTAGTTTAAATAATTTTATGATTTTAAATAATACACACAAATTGAATGGTAAATAATGCTGAAAACCTTATTAATTGTAGTGTAAGATATGCTCTATGCATTTACCAGTATTTTGTAAATAAACATTCATTTCATTTTATGTATTTATGTATATTCTATAAAAAATATTATAATATTATTTGCACCGCCACCAACGTATCTCTGCACAACTCATGGTTGCCTGGTAGATAATGTCATTAGGTGTTAAGTCCGCCATATGTACTCTATACTTATGTATGACGTGCATTGAAGTTATTTAAATAAATATAATATAAAAAAAATTGCTGCTTGTAGCGACTGGTCTGCATTAATCACTATGACTGATTTCCTCTTTGATTAATTCAATATTTTTTCTATTTGATTATTTAATTGAATTAGTGCTAATAGGTAGTTGGTATTCACTCACTTAAGCTTAAATTGTAAGTAAGAATAAAATTATTTAAAAGAGCAACACACTTTGAATTCTGGTTACGCTCGCTTTAGCAGAGTATATTGAATGTTTTGGAAGTGTTTTATTTGTTTAGTTTATATACCTGTACATATATTAAATTAAAAAATCATTTATTCATGTAGGACATTTTAGCCGCTTATGAACGTCAAGTTTTTTACATTATAATTTTTTTCCCTACCGTCCAGTTCGGTATATAGATACAATTGAGAAGAACTGGCAAGAAACTCAATTGATTTTTTTGTTATCAGACAGTTTATTTATATAGGTGTCTATGTGTAACATTAAATGAAAATCAAGTGCATGAACAACTATTGCCATGCACGCTCGTTAACATGGTTATTATATTATCTCAAAAAGGAAGTAAAATATATAGAGGATGATCTCATAAATGTTTAATCAAAGGAATGTTAATAGGTTAATATCTTTGTTATAACGTTGGCTTAGACACGTCCAAGATCCTTCTTCCTTGTTCGTGCCTTCGCTTCACAAACATTATCGCTGAAAACGTTACAACCTAGAGATGTGCTGACTCGTAATAATATTTATTACTCGAGTTGAAATTCAGGTAACTAGAACTAGAACTAGAAATAATCTTTATTCAAATAAACTCATTACAAGCACTTTTGAATAGTCATATTTTGATTCTACCACTCATTCGGAATGCAGATTCGTCACAAGAAGAATGAGCAAGAAACTTGTGTGTTGCTCTTTTTAATAGATGTTTTTTTTTATATAAATAATTACAGTATAACAAGTAAGAGGCATGCGGTAACCAACATAGAAGTCGCTACGCACTCATTATTAGTGTAATCAGATAATATTGTCAGTGCTATAGATTTAAAGTTTTTCTATAAAAACATTATTATCGTTAACGAATTCTTCAATTTTATAGTAAGCTCCATGTATATTCCAAGCTTTATTCCAGGTAACTCGAGTTACCTGGAATAAATAGTTTTTTTTTTAATTTTTTGAACCAATCTAATGTTTTTGGCCGCAGCTAGCCTTGAAAGCTTCACCGAACCATAGAGGGCGAGTAGAAATGGCACTTTAAAGCTGCGGAAGGACTTAATAATTTTAATGATAACATAACCGGACGAATATGCGAAAAAAAAATGATAACGACCTCAAATCAATATTGAAACATTTGTGACGAGTGAAAATTGTATGATATGAAACGATCGGAAAATTTCATGTCATTGTCTGTTCGACGATAGACTCATGCTCTCGCTCTTTCACTTGATTCGTTCATTACCAGCTGAATATTTCCAACTCGAGTTGGCAGAATTCAACTCGAGTTAACTCGAATTCGCCGCATCTCTATTACAGCCATTCTGTTACACGCTATATTATTATAATATATTCATATTTTGTCTCTGAGTAGCAATTTCTTTTGAAAAATCCTGCTTGTTATTATGAGATGAAAGCAAATTGCACGGTAATCATCAAATGTTGAAAGGTAAATAAGTACAAAGTCAAAGGGGAGATTATTAAAAGGTAAGTAGATACGAAAATATGGTACGGAGGGAATGTTACGTCGTAAGTAGGTTGCAGATTACGGTGAACACTCGCATTTGAATAACATGTTTATGGCGTTTTTTTGATGATTTTTATATACAGCAACATAACATGGTAACCATAGGACGGCAGGCTGAATATATAGAAATTAAACATGTGATTTTATGTAGCTATGACGTGATCGAGTAGTCATGCTCACTAAAATTTGTTTGAGCGCAGTGATGGCTGGCTCATCCATCTGGACTGGTCTGCTCTTATCACTACGACTGATTAAATCTTATTATATACTAGGTGTCCCGATAAACGTTGTTTTGCCTTAAGGGGGTCTTCCTATGTGACGGCCTGTTTTTTAGGGATATTTTAGGATTTTTTTTTTACGACCAGTAAATATTTAGAGCTTCAAGTTTTTTATCATTTATTAACACATATTTGGACAGTATAAATATAAAATTTCAGCTAAAAA